TTACCTAAAGTGGCTGCCTGTCCAATGATGGCTTTTGCTTAGTGAGCACAGCCAAGTTGAGCTTGTTTAAACACCATTTCCCAGGACTTACATGCTACTCCCCGAACGACAGGAATACTCAAAGCTTTTAGAGAGAATAACCTACTGCATGGTCTCTGCCTAGGAAGCAAGCCACAGTTCACTGCAAACAGCCAGTTCAGATAAATAAAATGAAAGGAGACGTTTCTGGAGATGGCCTTGAAAGCCTTCCATTAGAGAACAAAAAGGGCACAACAGTAGGACTAGTATAGCAATGCATCCATGGTAGACTACTGCATGTCACTTTACCCTACCTCTTTTCTTCATTAGATAACCAAATAAGTATGTGGAACATTCTCTCCTGGGTCTCCCACTAGGAAAAATACAGGACTCCTATGCTCTAACCATACACCATCAAGAATACAAAGCAGTGCCTCTTTATAAAGGTTCCACATTAAATATGAGTGGAGAAGTTACATTTTCAATCTAATTACCCTTGAGGAAACCTGACTTCCATTGCTAGCACATGACTGAACATAAAGGAGCTCAGACAGACGATCTATACCTTGATGTCTTCTCTTTGGCTATCCATTTGAGTCAAAATCTCTCCCTAGATCTCTCAGTTTTAGATCAGCACTGCACTGTTCTGACTTGTTACAGACTCAAATATAATGAGAGAGGACCAAAAAGACTAAGGAGGACTAAGAGGACAGGACAGAAGGAGAGGTGAGTCAGAAAGGGCTGGAAGGTGTCTTATGGCTACCAGTATCTTCTCTAAGAAAATGTTCTGAATACTATGACCATGTGAACGGGTCTAGCTAGCTAGCTACACCTACTTACCTACCTACCTACCTACCTACCTACCTACCTACGTGCTGTATTGGGGATTGGACCAGAGCCTTGTATATGTTAGGCAAGCATGCTACTACTTAAGCCCCAGCCCTTTTGCTTCTTTTTTTTGGTCGGTTGTGATGCCTAAACTCTGGGCCTGGGCACTGTCCCCAGGCTCTTCAGTTCAAGGCTAGTGCCCTACCATTTGAGCCACAGTGCCACTTCGGGCTTTTTCTGCTTATGTGGTGCTAAGGAATTGAACCCAGGGCCTCATGCATGCAAGGCAAGCACTCTACTACTAAGCCACCTTCTCAGCCCTGCATTTTGTTTTGAGAGAGGTTCTTATACTATATTTGTCTGAAGCCTTAAACATGTGGTATTCTTGCTTCCCAAGATGCTGGGATTGTAAAGGTGTACCATCACACTGGCTGAAAAGCAATTCTTTAATCTCATTTTATATATTGTGCGTAAAACAAATTCTGAATATGAAAAGGAATGTTATGAGGCTGCAACATAAAATGTAATTTGATAAAACTTATTATTATGTTTTCACCTAAATATGAATACATACCCAATATTATAAATACATATAAATTAATTTGGCATATATAGACTTCAAAATATGTAAAATACATTAAAAGGTTTTACACAGTAGAATATATAGAAACTAAATACAGAAGAAAGCTGAATGTATATTTTTACTAAGTGATATAGCCTGATATATTTACTTGGGAAAATTAGATTCAAGGTTATTTCAACATACTAATCTTTCAGGATAAAACCTGAACCAAGAATAAAGTCTAAGAGTGACTAAACAAAAATATAACTAAGGGCTTATGCAATAATAAATCTCAGTAATTAATTGGTTACTGCATTTCTATCAACTTTTAAATAGGCTAATCAGTTATTAGTATCACAGATGTTTTCCTCTGTGAGTTCTTGAATACCTCATAATGTTCATTACATAAAAAGACCAGGGGACATTAATCCCTTCATTATAAAATAAATTTATACTGCTTAAGCTCAGGCTACTAGAAACTACTTAGGGTCTAAATACATGGCAAAACATTAATAAGTATTCAAATTATAATAACCATTCAAGCCCCAGAGAATTAGTAAGAAATCTAAATGAAGTAGGAATGATATATACACACATTTTGCCAAGAGTGCAATGGTCAACTGTACCAACTTACTTGGTCAAATTCCTAAGATTACACTAGCATAAAGCTTACATTTTAAATTATCTGTTAACAGTACAAAATTTTTTTCAGGACTAATACATCTGTGAAAGCACAGTGGAAGTCATCAAGAAATGATAATCTGCAATAGAGATATTTTATTTACTTTTAATAATATTGAAGAGAAAAATCTGAAACCTAAGTTTTTTTCTATTTCTTTGGCTATCATGTCAAAGTGTTGATTTCCACCCCTAAGGAGAATTAGATAGGAATCACTACAGCAACATGCTAATGCAGTTGATTGTCTGTGGATGGCTGCATATCCTTTTCCTGCACGATCAAATGGCCATCATGCATTTAACAAATGCTGGTAATACAACTGCAATATTTACAAAGAATAGTACTATTAGCATACAGCGTTTATATAAAATTTCTTAAGCATACAAGTATATATAGTCCTCTCCGTTGAATATTACTACCACTTAGAATATGTTTGTCAGCTATAAAGTATTTTTAAAATAAGAATTCTAGAAATGCCTATAAGTCTATTAGATGTGTTTCTCTGAAATGTTAATTTTTTTTGGTGCCAGAACTGGCATTTGAACTCAGGGCCTCATGTTCTCACTTGGCCTTCTGGCTCTACTATCACTTGCCTCTACTCTGGCATTTTTCTGGTAAATTGGAAATGGAAGTTTTGTAGACTTTTCTGCTTGGTCTGGCTTTTGAACTGTGATCTGCAAGGTCTTAGCCTCCTGAGTAGCTAAGATTGCAGGGGTGCGCAACCAGCACCCAGTGAGATACTCTTTTATATGCTTATACTGTTTTGTGGCAAAAGAGTGAATAGCTTTTTATGTATTTCCCCATTCTTCCTTATATGTTCCTGTCTCTTTGGGTGTCTTAAGTATCTATGCTTTTCACCAAAAGGCTATTTATTCAATGCTAGCTGTCATGCTGGCTTTCCCTTTCCTGAGTGACGACGCTATCTTCCCTAAAAAGTAATTATGAACCCATCATGGGGGAAAAGTGAGGTAGAAATGTAATTAAAGTATAATTAAAGAAGAATTTTACAGATTTAAAGAAGTCAATGGGATTACTTTTAATATGACATATATTTACATGTTATTCCCAACTTGCTTCATAATATTACAAAAGGGTAATAAAAAGGTGAAATGATGGACCAAAGGGGTATCAGTTGAAATATGAAAAGCTAGAGTAATTTCCTGAACAGAGGTTATAAAAAAGAATATGGAAGAAAGAAGGCTTAGAAGTTAATAACCAAAGAACAAGGAGACTGAACTATAATTTGAAGATATAGAATGTGCAAATACAGAATGGAAAGGAACTGAAAGGAAGGCCTATGGCAACAGAGAGAAGTATGAAAAAACAAGATTTCAAAAGCAAAAACCTAAGCAGTGCTATGATTCGTATCTATAATGACCAAAGACTGTAGAAGCCAAAAGGGTCTAAACTGGAAAGGATTTTGACTCATCAGGGATCAAAAGGATCAAAGACTAAGACAAGTGTCATATCTAGCCTTAAGGGTTAGAACATAATAAAAAAGAAGGCAAATGACTAAGCAAATAGTATGTACTGCTACAACTTTAAGACAGATTGCACACAAGAAACATGTTAATACATCTAAGATGTGAATGGGCTTTAAAAGAATTCAACTATTACAACCAAAGTCAGGAAAGTCAAATAGTGTCTGAAAGGACTAGCAGAGCTTTCAATATTTACACCACATGAGTGCCCGCATTATATCAAACACTAGAGGTTTTTATGTAGCATACTCTTATAGCATTTTAATGGCAGCTCTTATGATTTCATTTTACAAACTTTTTGTTGTTCATTGCTACTGCAAGATGTGGCAATAGTTTAATATAAAACATGTAGGGTCTAACATGGCCTCAGTAAACCGTATTGATAAAGATATTGGAGTAGAAAGCAAGATTCTGAGATTACTGCTGGGCTCAGGTCCCTGACTCCTGTTGAGTCTTGTCAACCAAGAGTTACTTCCTCTTTAGTATAATGAAATATAGAAATACTGTTTAACAGTTGTCTATGAGGTTTTTTTTTTAGCAGGCATAAATGGCTTGGTAGGTGAGCAGAGTTACTGATACTTTCTCTGCCACTGACCAAAATATATAAATACATAAAATAGAAAGCACTTTTTAAAAAATTAATAAGATCTGTTTCACAAACTACCAACTCAACTGGAACATGACAATAGTAGAAATGACAAAAGATTTGTTCTTAAGGCTGATAAAAAATTTATATCAGGGCATTCAAGTAAAGTTATTTTCTGTGTTCTGATTTAATGAATCATGTGAGTTGTATCTGGTTGGGTGACACAGATTCCAGCTCACTGAAGCCTACTCTAATCTTCCCTGCGTAGCCTTCCTCAGGACAGTGAAGTCAGAGTAACATGTCAGACTTTAGTAAAATCAAAGGGAGATAGAGTAGGGCTAGAGATGCGATGAGGGTGACTGTTAACACTCTTGACCTGTGAGTGTCCACTAAGTTTTCAAGGCCCCATGGGCTTCAATGACCCGACAAACACCAAGAAGCAATAGTAATGCAGGAATGAATGATCCTCTAAAGAGTTTTGCAATTCAAGCTGAAAAACACTACAGTTATTAAATGGATTTAGCCCTATTGAAAACAGTTTTAGAAACCTCCAGTGGTTTCTTAAAAGGTAAATGAGTATTAAATGTTTTATATGTGCTTGTGCAGTAAGCATATTTTTTAGTTCCTTTAAATCTGCTAGATTTTAAAGTATACATTGATTTGGAAAATAAAACTTTGATGCTATTAAAGATAAAACATGTTGAAGAAAAATGAAATAGCATTAGATATATAAAAATACAGGTATAGTATAATAAGGCTGACTCAATCTTAGTATAACTTTGCTTTTCTGTAAAGTAAGATTTCTTACTTAGCATTTAAGAATTAAATGACTGAAAGAGTACTTACAATGACAGCAACACGACAGCAATTAAAGTCCACTCCAAAGGTTTATGGATAATATTTCTATTTGTTAGTCTGAAAGACAGTAATAAGTTACTGGAAAATTTCTTTATATTTAAGTTTTCTATGTAGATAAAATCACATTTATGATATTATATATAAGAAGCACTTTCTAAGTGCATCTTCTAGCTGTGGGAAGGTCAGTTGTATAATATCGTGGCTCTTGTATGATGTCTGACAAGAACTTCTGAAAGGAGCATTCCAGCCCACCTTTACGAACTTATGATAATGCTTCAGTTAGACGAGATGGGAATACAGGCACAATGAAGGAAACCGACTGTGTGGTTTATAAAAACACATATATCATGCTCTTTAACAATGTCTTCCATGATTTCCCCTCATTAAATATTTTATCAAAGCTAACGGGTAATTTCTGATTTTCACTTTATCTTCTGTGTCATTCCACTTAGTGCTTGGGTGGCAGAGGCAATTAAGTGATGTCACATCCATAACTTGCAGAAATGAGAACTGGCTTAATCAACTGCAATAGGCAATTGGAGAAAATTTAAATTAAAAACTCCAAGTATATTCTTAACTGGTGATGGCAACAAAATATCCTGGTGTCATTTTGTTTTTCAGAAAGCATTTAGAAATATAACTATAAGCTGGGCACCAGTGGCTCACACCTGTAATCCTAGCTACTCAGGAGGCTGAAATCTGAGGATCATGGTTCAAAGCCAGCCTGGGCAAGAAACTCCATGAGACTCTTATCTTCAATAAACCACTCAGAAAACCAGAAGTGGTATTGTGGCTCAAGTGGTAGAGCTGAAGAGCTGAGGGACAGCACCCAGGCCCAGAGTTCAAGCTCCATGACCAACAAAAAATAAAAATAAAAAAAATAAAAATCACTGTAACTTAAATAAAAAATAAATGATAACACCAGAGGCTGGCAAGGAGGAAAAGAATTTTCAACACTCTGATAGTATAGGAATTGAACAATAATTGTAATTATCTTTATTATATAATTTCAAACTTGTCTTATACTGAATCTTAAGTGTAATAAAAAATAAAAAGAAACAAAACAAGTGAATACAACCCCCCTTTATTTTGACAATAAAAAACGTAATTTTAAATTCTAGAGCTGGTATTTGAAGAAGCTCTCCTTGTATAATCTCAACAATATTTTATGGATAAATGAAAAAGTTTTATTTAAGCTAAGTCAAAACATGATTATACTTTGCAACTATAATCAAGTCTGGGAGAAGCTATTGATACTTGTGGCTACAAAAATAAGTTACACCAGCATGTATAACAAACAAATAATACTGCAAACTTATTTAAAAACAAGAATGAAACCTCTGACATCACTCTCATGGAAGAACCTATATTTGATAATTAAATCTGTAGTAGGATAGATCCTTGTAGACAATTAAAAAATATATAGAAGTATCTCTGAGACACATTTAAGGTTTGCTTAAAAAAAAGTATGAAAATGTATGAGCCAGGTGCTGGTGGCTCACACCTGTAACCCTAGCTACTCAGGAAGCTGCGATCTGAGGATCACGGTTCAAAGCCAACCCGGGCAGGAAAGTCCGTAAAATTCTTATCTCCAATAAACCACCAGAAAACCAGAAGTGGAGCTGTAGCTCAAGTGGTAGAGTGCTAGCCTTGAGCTGAAGAGCTGAGGGACAGCGCCCAGGCCCAGAGTTCAAGCCCCACGATTGACCCAAAAAAAAAAAAAATGGACTCTATACCACTGTTCCAGGGGCTGAGGAAACACAAGAGGTTTTGCTCTTACTTCAAAGTGTATCTATAGCCGGGCACTGGTGGCTCACGCCTGTAATCCTAGCTACTCAGGAGGCTGAGATGTGAGGATCGCGGTTCAAAGCCAGCCCGGGCAGGAAAAACCGTGAGACTCTTATCTCCAATAAACCACCAGAAAACCGGAAGTGGCGCTGTAGCTCAAGTGGTAGAGCACTCGCCTTGAGATGAAGAGCTGAGAGACAGCGCCCAGGCCCAGAGTTCAAGCCCCACGACCGACAAAAAAAAAAAAAAACAAAGTGTATCTATAAGCAGAATAGCAACATATTGCTTGCTTTCATAATTTTTTCATTTCATAATTTTTTCATTTCACCAAAACAATTTCCAGCACAAATATTGTATGAACATATTGAGTGACAATTCAAAACCAAGTATCACAGTATTAGAAAACATTTTAAAAAAACTTTAAAAAATAGTACTATGAAACACATAATGTCTAAACATCACCAATGAGATTTATGTCAAAATATAATTTCAATTTAAATCTGCTTTAGAGAAATGTCTGACACCGCTAACAATGAATCATTACCATGTAGCTGTGGCAGAACTTGTTTTACCCTATGAGAGATAAGTCAATGCAACATTCTGCATGACAGACTATGGTGCAATCCAGTGGAAAGTCAGCTTTCTACAGTCACTGGGGGAAGATGCTACAAAGAGCTGAAAAAGCTGCTTTGTGCTCAGCTTCTAAAGCAGGCTCTCATCTCTGGCTGCACGTAAGAATCATCTAGAGGGCTTTTAAGAATACTAATGTGTCAGCACAACCCTAATCAAATGAACCCCAATCTCCAGGGGGCAGGCTGAACATCTGTAGTTGTTAAATGGCTTGAAAATCATTGTTTTACAAGTTCTTATTATTGATTAGTATTTCAAAGAAAAGGATATAGTTATGTCAACTATTTCCCACTGTCTGTACTGACTGGAAAGACTTCTCAGCACTAGTCACTGTCATCAATATAGCATTTTTTTTCCAGAGGATTCAATGGAAACCCTAGCTTACATCATCCCATCAGAAACTGGAGACTCCAAAACAGGTATCTTAACTAGAGTTCACTCTATACTCTAAGTGATGGACATTTTTCTAAAAGGCAGCAATGCCAATGTTTGTTAAAGCTTTAGATTTCTATGCATAGGTAAAGATTTTCAAAAATAATGATTTAAAAAAAGTAATTAACACTGAATTCCTTTGGAAAACACAATTATGTTAATATTCCCTTACCAACATAATATATAATTTTTGGGCTTGTTTTCCCTTTTCTTTTTTGATGGTACTGGGGTTTAAATTTAGGACCTACCTCTTGTAAGGGAGGCATTCTACCACTTGTGCCATGCTTCTAGCTCTTTTCCAAACTTAAAAAAAAATGTTTTTAAAGTAGTTGTACAGAGGAGTTTTAACTCAATAGGTCAGTTCATTAAGTACAATGCATCTTCTATCATTCTATCTTTCTCATCCCACCCATCCCCTCAAGTTCCTTTCTTAAACTTTTGATCAAATGTTTTATATATATATTACATATATATTTTATATATATCTTATATATAAAATATATTATATATTAATATTACATATAATATATAAAACATGTATTTTATATACATGTAATATATATATATATATATAAAAGAATATAAAACAAACTATGTCCTTACCATATTTTTGTTAATGACTCATTCTTGCACGACGTTTCATCTAGAGGGCCCCTTGTATTCAACAGCATCTCTAGTAAGGGCGGGGGGGGGGTCCCTTGCTGCCCACTTAGTTCTAGGGATTGAATTTAAGGCTTTATGCTAGATAGGCAAGTACTCTACAACTTGAGCTCTTGAGTCATATGCTTAGCCCATTTTTTTTTCTTTTACTTTTTCAGTTAGGGATTTATGCTTTTGCCCAAGCCAGCCTTGGACTGCAATCCTGCAGTTCCACCTTTGCTTACTAGTATTATTTTGCTTATTGGGATTAGTAGTGTGTACCATATCTGACTTTCTCCCCCATTTGTGATACTAATGACTATGGAGACACCTAAGTGTAGAGCTCTTCAAAATCTCTTTTTTTTTCCTGTCAAGTTCTCATAACAGAAATATCTAAGTCTAGCATTTTGGCCTGATGAGATTACTAGTTCTTATTTGATGTACACTTGTAAGTACACTGAGTTTACCACCAGATGTTTCTCTGTTATGTATGTAAGTGCTTGGATTATTGATCAGTAAGGTTCTCATCTTAGAGAATAGGAGATATAATGATTTAGGTGTTAGGTACTGTTTTGTAGAATGGGAACTTCTTTGTACAACTACTTAAATAATAAAAAAAATTTAAAAAATGATCTAGGTGCTAGGAAATCAAGCCTGGGTATGCTAACACATTACTACTGAGCCATATCTCCAAATGACGTATTCATTATTCATACTTTACCTTTATTGTCATTCCTTCAGAAAGGGTGAGTATCTGGCAAGACTAAGCTCCTGAGGTAATCTTCCTGTGCTGTCCTTTATGTAAAATTTATTGCACTTGTAACTATAAGTTGCATTTTTCCTCAGCTTCACTGAGGTATAACTGACAAAAATTGCACTATGAAATGATTATAACTGAGCTAATTAACACACACATCACTTTGTAGTTATGTGTTTGTGATGGTAACACTCTCTCTTCATACATTTCTAGTCTAGGACAGCAATTTAGTAAGCAGCTTCCAGAGTAGATAGTAAGGTGCAGAGGGAGGGATTTCAGCCCATGTCTTGAATAGGAAATGGATATTGACTAAAGGAACAAAAGTTACAGGAAAACACACACACACACACACACACACACACACACACACACACACACACACACACACGAAATATATCAGAATGAAATATATGAAGTAAATATATCCTTCTGTCCCACTAAGAAGCTGCACTCAAAAGAACAGAAATAATGTTTAGGAGAGAAGAAAACAGCATCTAAGTAGATGTAAAACAGTAAAGGGAAAATACTTACTTTGCATATGCGTTAGTCTAACTATGGATTCCACAAGGCAATCAGTAAGGGGTGAAAATCATAGTATCAGTACTAACCTGAATGTGCGGACAAGATTTTTAAGTTCAGTGTGAACATCTCCTACTGTAATCTGAAGAGGACCTAAAAGTCCAGGCAATCTGAAAAAAATCATGCATTAAAAAATATAATTATTTGGAAACATTTTTGGATCAAGCCTACCTATGGAATTTCCCTGGGCATAATGGCACTTAGGGGGAAGCAACATTATTTCTAGATTCTTACTGGTAAGAAGTCCTAAGAACACATTTCACAGTAACTCCACACTTGATGGTCTATGTTACAGAATGTAAAGCATGGCAATGCATAATCATTATGGCTGCTACCTGTATTTTTGTCCCTAGTTTTCCTTACTTGGAAAGCAACTTAGCAATTGATCCAATAGTTGTACTATGAGAAACTTTATCCTAAGGAAACAATCAGCTAAATATTCCCCAGATAAACATTTTAAAAAAGATTGTTCTTTGCACTGCACAGGAGACAGGCACTAGCTATTCTAGTGCTTTCCATCCTAGGGTCTGTAGGGCTTTCTCTGCCAAACTGTTATCATCTTCTTAACCTTACCTTTCAGCTTAGGTTCTTGCTTTTCTCAGTGAAACATAACTTCTTTAGGAACATGTTTGCAACTTCCTGGCTTTCCTACTGCATGGACTTGGAAAGCATGAAGTTTACTTTTATTTATCACATTATCATGGTACCATAAATGTTCCCTTGTTATTCCCTTCTGCTAGAATGTAAGCTCCCTGAGAGCAAGGGCCCTTTGTTTACTCTGAATAAGTAGAGAGAAAAAAAATGCAAGTTGTAATCAATATCATCAGGTCATGAAGTTTCAAAATTAGGTGATTATATGACGAATGCAACTGTCAAGTGTTTTCATAATAAAATGAACACATCTGAAAAAAATGCTTGTTGCAGTAGTATTTTTAGTAAAAAAAATTAGACGAAAAATATATTAAAGGCAGGTGTCACGGCTAAAATCTGTAATCCTAGCTACTTGGGAGTTTGATGCCCAGGCATCAAAGTTTGTGAAATTCAATCTCAATCACATCTTAATGTCTGTTACCCCAGGGATGGGGGAAACGTAGGCAGGAGGACCACAGCCCAGGCTAGCTGGGCATAAAGCCAGACCTAACCTCTAAAATTACCAAGACAAAAAGTGGTTGGAGGTGTGGCTCAAGTTGTAGAGTACTTGACTGGAAAGAGCAAAGATCCAAGTCCAATCCACAATAATGGCAAAACAAAATATATTAATAGGCAAATAGTCAAATTTGTTATGTTACAAACATTTGATAAACCTTAACAAAAGTCTTTAAAATGTTTACTAATAGCTGTAAAGACATGATAAATATTAAGTGGAAATGCAGATTTGGTATCTTATTTTTTATAAAAATATAAGATGCATTTGCAGATAATATATCACATAATTTCTTCTAGGTTTCTGTAACAGGGAGTCTAAGGAAAAGGCTATAAATGACATACACATGTCGTATGCATTTCAGAGATAAACATCAAAATCTCAATTGTGGTTACTGAGTGGAAAGATTTTCAGGTAATTTTTATTCCCTTACACTCCCTTTTTTATTCCTAAATTTTCTTTACTATGTATGTAATCACATTTTTATTCTTTATATTTTTTTGTCAGTCGTGGGGCTTGAACTCTGGGTCTGGAGGCTGTCCAATTCTTCAGCTCAAGGCTAGCACTCTACTACTTGAGTCACAGCGCCACTTCTGGCTTTTTTATGCTTATGTGGTGTTGAGGAATTGAACCCAGGGCATCATGCATATGAGGTAAGCACTCTACCACTGAGCCACCTTCCCAGCCCCAAGTGCTTTTTTTTTTTTTAAACAATTAGTTTAAATCAGAAACCAAAAAAGGAAAAAAGGTCTTTTCTGGGGGATGGTTACTGGAGATCAAACTCTATGCAAGTGCTGACACTGAAGTATCATCCTATTCTAGGTTTTATTTTTATAAAGAAAAAAAGGCACCGGTGGCTTATGCCTGTAATCTTAGCTACTGAGAAGGCTGAGATATGAGGATTGCAGTTCAAAGCCAGCCCAGGCAGGAAAGCCTGGGAGACTCTTATTACCAATAAACAACTCAAAAAACCAGAAGTGGTGCTGTGGCTCAAGTGATAGAATGCTAGCCTTGAGCTGAAGAGCTTAGGGACAGCACTCAGGCCCAGAGTTCAAGCCCCATGACTGACCAAAAGAAAAAAAGAAAAAAAAAAAGAAAAAAAGCCCAGCTGCTTTCATAAGCAAGAATCAACAAAACCTGCTACCAAAATTCCTATCTACTTAACAGGACAGGATGCATTTTTGAATGTTATATACTCATCCCTCAAAATACCACATAATTGAAGTCAAGTCTGATATCTTTTTGTACTATGTAAACAGTGACTACTCAGTTTTCTAAACCAATTTATTTTACAGAAAGAAAAGATATAAAATCAGATTATAATGCAAATTATAATATACAGCAGGCATTCAATAACTAGCCATTTAAACATCATTTTAAAATATAGAAATTATATTTGAAAATGTGTAATTTACAAGTTCTTTTTTAAAGAGCTACTAGTGTTTGATGTTCAGGGCCTCATCCTTCCAAGGCAGGTAGGTACTCTACTGTTTGAGCTCCTTCTCTGTTTTTTCAGATAGTCTCATGCATTTCCCCTAGTGCTAGTCCTGGGCTATGATCCTCCTAACTACGCCCCCTGTGTAAACAGGATCACAGATATATATATCATCATGCGCAGCTTGTTTGCTGAAATGAGCTCTCACTAATTTTTTTTGCCTAGGCTGGCCTTGAACTATGATTCTATCTTCTCAATAGCTGGAACTACAAGTGTGCACCATTATGTGTGGCCATGGATATTCGTCTTGATTCAGTTTTTTTTTGTTTTTGGGGCTATCCTGGCTGGGATCCAGAGCCTAAGCATTTTCTCTGAACTTTTTTTGCTCAAGGCTAGAAGTGCTCTACTACTGATCCACAGCTCTACTTCCAACTTTTTTGGTGGTTAAATGGAGATAAAAGTCTCATGGACTTTCTTGCTCCAGCTGGCTTGGAACTATGATCCTTAGATCTCAACCTCCTGAATAGCTAGGATTTCAGGCATGAGCCAAAGATACCTAGCCAAAGATACAAACCCTGTTCAAAATGATTTCAGATGTAGCTTAGAAATATATATTTTAAAGTAAAAAATTAATCTCTCCCATTACAGGTCATAGTATATACTTTGGCTCCTCAAAATAATATGGCTTTGGGAAATGTTTTTCTTATTTTCAACCTGCTATAAAACTGAGACTTCTCTGCATTTGTGGCACCTTAAATAATGCCTGACATGCTCTTTTCATGTTATCTGACCTAGAAAGAAAATGAAGGTTCAAGATAGTCTTTATACCTTTGGAGTTAAAAAAAAGATTTTAAAGTTTCTATTGTCAGAGAAGCCAAAATAGCAAATTTTAAGTGCCATTTATGATTGGGCTACTTGCAAGAATAATAATTTCCATCACAGGAAGCTCAAAGCCAAAGTGCAAATGTGAAAATGGCAGAGTAAGCCACTGACTGTTAAGAGCTTCCTAATAACCTTTTCTTCTCATGAGAACTGATGTGACACAGTCACCACAATCACTATTTCAATGGTCTAGCTTCAACATTGTACTCAGATTTTACAGATCATTAAGAGGGAGAAAGATAGTCTGGTCTTCTATTCCTGAAATCTCGGCCTTTCTCTGTGTTTTCTACACAAAATAATATTGTCTGGATACAAAAATCTTAAAAAACCAAAACCCTAAATTTCTCAAACCAAGAAATCCATATAAACTTTTAAACGGTATTTTTGTGTTCAAAATTCAAAGGTACTATTGATAAATTATGAGTTCATCAACATCAAACTAACTTATCCTATGAAGCTGAAACAGCAAGGGTGTACTTACACTTTACTCAGTTTTTCAAGGACGATGCGCTTTCTTATCTGGTTCTGGGAACTTGAATCTACCAGCGGAAAGGTGGGATCAGGCTAAATCATGTGTTTAAACAAAACAGTAATAAATTGACATTTTCTTCTTTTATAAGTAGAACAGGTAACACAAACAAAAATTTACATAACTGGTACAGTAGGAAATAACTTGCTTTGAGAATTAAAAGATTTAAGGCTGATATAATCTCCTTGAGTCATTTGCCTGTTCTAAGGATTACTCTCTCTCCTACACAGGAGGGGTTGTAAGACCTCCTTCACTGAATGAGAAAATGAATACAAAGGGATTACAAATGTGGAAAATTTAAAGATTAAAATTAGTAAATGCAATCATCATATTATGGAAAAGCTGAAAATATACTCAAGATCATTCAAATCAACCAACAAAAAAAATGGGGAAACATCTCCTTATATTTATTTGAAAGCACCACAAAATGGTAAAAGTAACTAAATAATAAAATGAATCTCAGGGCTGGGAACCAGTGGGAAGGGACAAGTGAGAGACTAGAGGTTAGTTTATGAAACTAGCAAGACCTATGTTTCTCATGGCTTAATGCTAATTCCGAGTATGGTGCTAGGCTAGGAAAAAAATTCTACAGAAATGTAAGAAAAAATTAAAATTTACAATATTCCCACTTCTATATTGTTTTATAAATTAAGAGCGACATATTTTGTGGTCAAAACAAGGCTATTACCCATTTTTCCTGCCATATGACTTCATTTCTCAAATGACTGTGAACACTAAAGATGAGGAGACTCAAACTAATTTTTCATAAAGCTAGAGACAATTAAGTCCAGATCTGAATGCACTTTTTCTTTTCTCTGTGTTTATTTCCCAGTAAGTTCCTTTATCATAATTTTATAGTATTTTAAATGAGCAGGCTTACCAGTTATTATCCATAAAGTACTTCACTATTCAACTAGTGAGTCTATGTCACTATATATAGTCCCAACACTAGATCTACTAATCTTGGTTTTTCAAGAGTTAGCAGCCTGGAAAAACTCATCAACACATACCTCTCCTGAGTCTGGTGATTGGGAAGTTTCTTCATTTACAACATATCGTCCCTTATAAAACTCCCTGATCCTCATATTCAGGGTTTCAGTTTCTTTTTTCAAGTCCTCATAACTTGGCACTGGTTTGCTGGCTGTATTTGAGCATCTAAAAGGTAACGACTCATCGAGGCTGTTCTGAGATGGGGAATGACAACCTGGATTGGAATTTATGTCATCTTCATCTAGTTCTTCATTAACGAGAGAGGTTGAAGAGGGTTCTAAGCACACAGAAGTATAATTCTGGCCATACAAAAACCTCAAAGTTTCTTCTGTCTTCCATTCAATCAAAGTCTCTTTCAGAACTTTAAGTAAGTTTGTCTTCATGACTTCAGGGCACACCTGTGCTGAACTGCAGTCTGACCTAGAAACTTGACTTGATTTTGTAAATTTTCTCTTAAAATGTTCAGCACTTTTCTTACTTAGGCCCACAAGTGTTATTTCTGACATACTGTATTTACCTTCAGAATCTGCCGAAGCATTTAATTTCTCATGCGAAGGACTATTTGAAGAAATGGGAGCATTTACCTTCTGTGAAGGAGGAAGTTCATGGGCAGCTTTCTCCTGATCATCTAAGCTACAATTACCTAACTGTGCAGCAATATCTACAACTGCTTGCTCTATATCTTTGCACTCTGAGCTAGCTTTCTGACCAGCTTTCTTTTTCATTATGCTTTTCTTGTGCAGCTGTGGCCTTGGACCCTTTGCATTTGGTCTGCTTCCTGGTAGAATGGAGGAAACAAAGTCTTGTTCATTATCACTGTTACTATCACTGTAAATGCTAGAAGAACTAGACTCATATTGCGTTTCAAAATGACAAGTGTTGTCAATATCTGATGTTTTGATGGTTTTACTGCAGAACTGCACTTCTTCTCCTGAATGGCCACTGTAGAAGAAAAGACAAATTCACAGTATCAGGAAAGCAAAGTTCCTATAGTACTTAAACTCAAACAATCAAGATAAAAATTTTTATTACCTAGGCACACCTTTATCTACAGACTCTGACATAGAAATTTCAGAAGGAAACTTCCATTTTCTGTCTAATACATATTGATACTCTTCTTTTTCTCCTTTGCCTGTTCCCATTATTTTAAAATTGTTAAAAAGAGTATAGCAAAAAGAAAAAAAAGCAAATAATTGTTATTTTTATTTTCTGTTGGCTATTTTATTTATTTTTTTCAGAGGGCTTCTTTAGAAAACTGGTAGGTTACCAGGATCTCAAAAAATACATGGGGGGGGGGAGGAATTGAGGAGGTAGGGAGGGAAGGGACAGTAGGGAAAAACAAAGGAAGGGTAATAATGCTCGATAGGAAATATACTCATTACCTTACTCATGTAACTATAACCCCTCTGTACAGTATCTTTACAATAAGAATATATACTAAAAATACATCGCAAGATCTCTGTTAAGGTTTTTAACTTTTATTTTCATTTTGGTGCAGGTCCTGGGGCTTAAACTCAATGCCCGGACACTGTTCCTGAGCTTTTTTGCCCAAAGCTGCTGCTCTACCACCTGGGCCACAGCTCTACTGGCTTTTTGGTGCTTAATTGGAGACTTTGTAGTCTTATGCACTTTCCTCCCTGGACTGGCTTCAAACCATGATGCTCAGATCTCAGCCTCCTGAGTAGCTAGGTTTATAGGCATGAGCCACCAGCACCCAGCTTTAACTTTTTTTTTGGTGCTGGTTCTGGGGCCTTAACTCCAAGCCTGGGTGCTGTCTGTGAGCTTTTTTGCTCAAGGCTAGTGCTCTAACCACTTGAGCCACAGCTCTACTTCCAAAGGTTTGAAAGATAAAAAAAAGACAAGAAGCCAGGCATGGTGGATTATGTTTGTAATGCTAGCTACTCAAGAGGCTGAGATCTAAGGATCATGGTTTGAAGCTAGCCTGGGCAAAAAAGTGAGAAAGATTTTTTCCCTATGAGACTCTTATCTCTAATAAACCACTCAAAAACCAGAAGTGGTGCCGTGGCTCAAGAAGTGGTGCTGTGGTTCAAGTGGTAGAGTGCTAGCGTGGAGCACAAAGAGGCTCAGGGACAGCAACCAGGCCCAGAGTTCAAGCCCCAAAACTGATGACAGAGAGAGGGGGGGAGGGAGGAAGGAGAGGGGGGAAGGAGAGGAGAGAGAGAGGAGAGAGAGAGGTGAGAGAGAGGAGAGAGAAGAGAAAGGGAGGGAGAGGGAGAGGGAGAGAAATAGAGGGGGAGAGAAAGAGAAAGAGAGAGAGGAGAGAAAGGAGAGAGAGGAGAGAGAGAGAGACACTTTCTAATTGTGGCTGATCATTATATAGGAAATAAATCCTACAGAATGAAAAACAAAGTCATAATAAAAATAAGCTTGGCAAATCAATGTTTTTCAATGAAAGGTACATAAACTCAAACACTTAGCTACAACAGAATGCTAACCATAAAAGACAGAAGTAGTTAGTCCTTTTGACAATGTCTTTAGATTATTAGACTAAGTTTAAGTAAGCCTAATAATTATCAAAGAGAGAAGGCAATGAGTAGCTTTTCTAATTCAACTCAAGATAAATAAGCACACATGAGCAGTTGCTCTCAAATATACCTGACAAACCTTTGAAACATTAGATAACGAAATTTTTGGATCAAGAAATGTACTGTGGGGAAGTGTCGAGAAAAGATAAGAAGAAAAAAAGCTAAGAGTAAGGCTAAGTGTTACTGGAGAAAAGATAGAAAAATTTCAGTATTACATATCCATAATAAATTTTAGCCCATACAGCCAGGGAACTGTCATTTGGATAAGAATAAAGGCAAATATATCTTTTATAAAAAAATTCACCTTACATATAGTTCATTCATTCTCTTGGAATTTTAAGTCCATTATAGGTTGAGGCTATGAAAATATACATCAAGCCAGGTGCTGGTGGCTCACGCCTGTAATCCTAGCTACTGAGGAAGCTGAGATCTGATGATCACAGTTCAAAGCCAGCTTGGGCAGAAAAGTCTGTGAGACTGTTATCTCTAATAAACCACCAGAAAAACTGAAGTGGTGCTGTGGCTCAAGTGGTAGAGCATTTGCCTTGAGCTGGATTGCTGAGGGATAGCACCTAAGCCCAGAGTTCAAGCCCATGACTGACCAAAAAGAAAAAGAAAAAAGAAAATATACACCAATAAATACTTATTTCTTACTTGTGCTGTGAATATGACCTAGGTAGGCAGCACTGGTTCTGAGGATTAAAGGAAATGTGAGAGACAGCCATGGTCGGACAGGCAATACTAAGAGGTTTACACACAAAATCACATCTTGGAGTTTGAATGATCCCTTTATAGACACTCTTTCAAATAGTAAAAAAACTGACATACTACTATCTTGAAATCCTATGAAAGAAGACCATAATAACCTTTCAACAAACGTAATTGGTACAACTTAAATAAAAACACTATGAAGAGTGTGTCATATTTCAACAGGCTCAATTAGACTTCCTCAGTAGGAACAGCTGTACAATAAATCATGTACATCAAACACATCACCTCATCATCTGAAAAGAAAAAGCTGAACATGTCAAATAACTCTTTGTGTGGATACAATAGGACACTTTCAATGCATCAGCACAGGAAGTTCAATAGGCCCTATCACCTGGTTCACGCCTAATGTGTCTATTAACTTAAGTACCATATAGAAGGAAAGTGACATTGCACCAACTGTACCTTTGTCCTTCCTGTAGCAGCTGAAAGTCAGGATGCCTAGGAAACAAACACAGAGACAGAAAATTGAAGATAACTGATAAGTCAAACACTGTCCAGTACTTATTGGGCAGATAACATAACTAAAATAGTTCATGCATATATGTGTGTGTGTGTGTGTGTATATACACACACATATGGGGCGGGGGGGGGGGAGAAGAGGGGTGGGTCTGAACTCAGGACCTCCTGTTTGTGAAACAGACATTTTACCAAGTCAGTGATGCCTTTTAGCACTCATTCTTCTTGAGCTAGCATCCTGCTTTGTTTAAGGATGTCTTGGACTGGGATCCTCCTACTTGTGCTTGTTGTTGTGACATGTGGTTGAAATGGAGCCAGTGTGGCATTGACCAGAGATCCCCCATCTCCCCGTTGAAGCAGCTAGGATTACAACCCTCATGCAGCTTGCTCCTTCCTCAGGAAAGGAGTTTTTTCAAAGAAACAATGAAAAGGAAAAAGTACTGAGAAATTCATCACAAAAAGTCTGTGTTAAGTCTTCTACCTAAATCTTAATCATTTTCAGGACTAAGTTCAATTAAGTTATCCTAACTAGTCTACTTCCAGGTCTCTTACTTTGCTTCTGCCACATCCACACCCCAGTCTTCCCACCTAATATTAGTATGGCTCAGCATCATGCAGCTGCCTGGCATGTGGCTCAGTAGTAGGGTCTGAGTAGCAAGAGTTGAAAATGTACATGTAGCTACAGTGATTTTTAATTGTATTCTCAGGCTAACTTGCAAATGCAGAATGTGCATTTCAAAAATCAAAATCTGAATATACTATATTGAGTATGCTAATAGAAAAGATCTTAAGGATCTTATAATTTAAAAGAACGCATGTTCTAACGTTTTACAACTATGAATCCTTACAATGAGACAGCCTGTTACCATCATCCCTACGTAACATACAGGAAACTAAACTCAAGAGTATAAGATATTTGTTCCAAATTACACAAGTGGTAAGAGGAAAACCAAAACTCAAACTCAATATGGCTTACAATAATTATAGCATAACTTCTAAAAGTAAAAAAATTTATGGACAGTAAATTACCATTGAAGTAAAATGGTCTTAGGAATATGGAGGGAATGTGATTCATAAAACTTATGTCAGGGAATGTGGCTTAGTGGTAATGTGCTTGCCTCACATGCACGAAGCCTTGGGTTTGATTCCTCAGTACCATATAAACAGAAAAGGCCAGAAATGGTACTGTGGCTTAAGTGGTAGAATGCTACCCTTGAGCTCAGATACAGTACCCAGGCCCTGAGTTCAAGCCCCAGGACTGGCAAAAGAAAAAAGGAAAAAAAAAGTCTTGTAGCAAGTATAAATAATAGCTGTTTAATAGAGAAATCCACATTCCTTTAAACCCAGTAAAAACTGAGTCATGTATATTCCACAGGCCTTTTTGGCAGTATTAGGAAGTAAACTCAAGACCCCCAAGCATTCTTCTTGAGTGATATACAGCCCTTCCTTTTTTTGTTTTTGGTCAGTTGTGGGCCTTGAACTCCAGACCTAGGTGCTCTTAATTTTTTTGCTCAAGGCTAGTACTCTACCGCTTGAGCCATAGCTCCACTTACGGCTTTTTTGGTAGTATACTGGGGATAAGAGCCTTGTGAACTTTCCTGCCTGGGCTAGCTTTGAACCGTGATCCTCAAATCTCAGCCTCCTGAGTAGCTAGGATTACATGCATGAATCACCAGTGCCTGGCTCTCCCCAATCCTTTTGATCTGTTTTGTTTTTTAGATAAGGTCTCCTGCTGCTTGTGAATGGCTCACTTTTCAGACAGGGTCTTACTAATATCTTCCTGGGCTGGCTTCAAGCTGCAGTCCTCCTATCTCCACCTTCTTAGAACTGGGACAGGCATGTTCCAGCATGCTTCGCCTTCAAATGCATTTTCATATTCAACTTTTTAAAATTAACTTTTATAATAGCAATAAAAATTTACACTGTTGCATTGTTTAATTTGAAAGAATATCATGTTCAGTACCATAATATAAGCTGCTACAGGACATAGGAAAAAATTCCTGCTGAACCCATCATATTTGAGAGAGGAAACATTTCAGCATAAGATATAGTTTACACCTAGAGACATTTGAAGTTAACCCTATGAGTCTTGCTCCAGGGATTTATCCATATGCCTTCCAAAGTTCTTCTTTAAAACAAGTAGTCAACAAAATAGGGATACAGGTTGACCCATTGTAACAGTGAGATGTACAAGACACTATGCTGAAAAATGAACTCTACAATTTAGATGGGGGAGGGGAGGAATGTAGTTGAGGTAGGAGGGAAGGGATGGTAGGGGAAAAACAAAGGAGGAGGCAACAATGCTTGATAGGATTACCTTGTAATCTCTGTTTTTTATTTTTATTTTTATTTATTTTTTGCCATAGGGATTGAACTCTGGGTTTGGGCGCTGTCCCTCAGCACTTCAGCTCAAGACTAGTGCTCTACTGCTTCAGCCACAGAGCCACTTCCAGTTTTCTAGTGGTTTATTGGAGAAGAGAGTCTCACGGACTTTGCTGCCCGGGCTTTGAACCTCGACCCTCAGATTGTACAGTATTTTTACAATAAAAAACTTATTAAAAAAACAAAACACGTAGTTATGCTTAAACCTAACTCCTCTCTTAAAGAAACAAAGAACAATCCTGTCCTTCAATGAGCCACCCCACTAGCCCTTTTCACTGAGAACTTCCTTTGAAGAGGTCTGCCCTCAACATTTTCAAATTCCTTATCTGAGTCATCAACCCTCCACCTCCTAGAATCTGTACCCTCTACTCCCCTGAGATGGTGCTTGCTTAGATCACCGATTATCATAGTGGTGATAAGCCTAATGGATATGTATTTTTTTCTTGTTGAAAGTAGAGGACAAAGTATCAGAATGAAAGGAAGTCTTAAAGGAGGAAGGAATAATGAAGGAAGGCCCAGAGAAGGGGCCCAGTAAAAAGACACGGTACCAGCAAGGAGGAGACACAGCAATCTGAGTGCTAAAGGAGATCCTGCTGGATGCCTTTGATGGCTCTAGGAGGGTAAAATATTTACTATAGGACTGATTCAATGGAAAGATCTAAATTTATCAGGTAGTCAATAAGTACTATGTGGAAACAGTTGAGTTTCAGGGCCAAAGGAATGCCAAGTACCGGCCAATGCCATGTCTTCAGTGCCAGGCAGATTTGAGTCTAAATTCCAAATCTATATTAAGTCAGGTGTCCTCATGTGAGTCTTTATATTCAATCCATAGATCCATCATTCATAAAACGAGCAACACAGGCGTGACACTGCATTAAATAGGATAGACTATCTAAAGTGTTAGTGGTCTTATTTGAGAAGGTTCACCAGTAATGCTCAGGCACAGGGAAATAATGTTCAGCACAGAAACAAGGATGCTTGGAACTTGGGAAGTAGACATGGCAGGTTGTCAGGGAATAAAGAATGTAAGATTGTCTAGAAGGACCAACATAAGATTTGCCAATCCAGAAGAATGGAGCTGGGGAGAGAGGAGGTCAAAATGAGGTTACAGAGTAGACTGAAACTATAGATAAGATTAACTGTTGTGGTCAGAGACGGGAAGCTTATATTTCAAGATTTTGATGGCAGAACATTTCCAAATAAGAATGAGGTGCAAGTATGCCTGAATCAAGAGGTAATCAAAAGGAAAAGATGATTTTAAGTCATGAACACTGTTTAAGACAGTCATATGAGAAATCCCCAGCTACACATACTTTTGTTTTTGAGATAGGATCTCACTATGTTGACCAGGCTGATCTTCAACTCCTAGATTCAAGTAATCCTCCTGCCTCAGCTTTCCTAGTAGCTGCAACTACAGCTTTACACCTTGTTTTTTTGACATACTTACACACCCAACTCATACACACATATGCATACATAAGTTATACAGGAAGTTTCATTGTGGTATTTCCACGCATGTTTACAATGTAATCATTCTCACCCTGTCTCCCCCTTGCTTGACATTTTTTGAGAAAGAAAACTCTAAATGTATAATAAAAACTGACATTTAGTAAGTGTTCACTATGTAAGTTAGGTGGACTTTAAAAAATTGTGGTAAAAACTGGGCACTAGTGGCTCATATCTATAATCCTAGTTAATCAGATCCTGAGTAGGATTAATTAAGTAGCATTAATTTAGTGCTTCCTATTAAGCACCAAAAAAAGCCAGAAGTAGAACTGTGGCTCAAGTGGTAGAATGCTAACCTTGAGCAAAAAAAGCTAAGGGATAGTGCTTGAATTCCAAGTCTTAGGACTGAAAAAAATTACGGTAAAGAGACCAAAGGTCTCTTTGGGAATGTGGCCCTATGTTCAAGTAAGTAGCATAACAATTTAATAGTTCTTTTTTAATGTACAGGTCAGTGCATTTACATTGCTCAGTACAGTTTCACTGTTGTGCAACTATCACCGATCATCTCCAGTATTTTTTGTTGTTGTTGTTTGGTCGTGGGGCTAGAACTCTGGGCCTGGGAGCTGTCCCTCACTCTTCAGCTCAAGGCTACCACTTAAGCTACAGCATCACTTCCGGTTTTCTGGTGGTTTATTGAAGAGTCTCACGGTCTTTCCTGCCCGGGCTGGCTTTGAACAGTGATCCTAAGATCTCAGCCTCCTGAGTAGCTAGGATTACAAGTGTGAGCCACCAGCACCTGGCCTCCAGTATTTTTCATCTTTCCAAACTAATTATTTGTTTAACCTTAACATGTATCTTTATTTTTATAAGTGCAGAAACCGAATCTTTGAGAGATTGACTTCGCAGTATATTTAGATTCAAAGTTAGGCCTCATTTAAAAATCTAAAGCTTAGCTGGGCGCTGGTAGCTCACGCCTGTAATCCTAGCTGACAGGAGGCTGAGATCTGAGGATCTCAGTTCAAAACCAGCCCAGGTAGGAAAGACTGTAAGACTCTTATCTCCAATAAACTATCAGAAAACTGGAGGTGGCGCTGTGGCTCAAGCGGTAGAGTGCTCGCCTTGAGCTGAAGAGCTCAGGGACACTGACCAAGCCC